ATGGCGTCCATTAGATGGATCCTACCATTCTTTCACAAACATTAGGGAAAAGTCACCGATCTGGCCTTTTTCTTTGAAGCAAATCCAAGGTATTGATCTTTTGGAGTACCAATTCCCAACAAAACACCCTAATCTTTGGTGGGACAAGAGAAGACCACACTTCTTTCATAGGAAAGGATGCAGGCCCAACATTAAAGAAAGAAGAGCAAGAGAAAAACCATGAGGAGGGTTTCAACCAAATCCTACTATCCAGACAAGACTGATCATGGAAGACGGAGGATAACAAAGAAAACAAAGCGTCTGCACAACTCACCTCTAAATCTCTCAAACCTCTCCTTAGGCCCAAGTCCCAAGAGCCTTCAGACCCTTGGTAGGACGAAATAGTCTTGAATTTATTTAAGGAAAGGGAATACAAAGAAGGGAACTTATCCTTTAGGGGAGTGTTCCCACACCAAATATCATCACAAAACAGAATTTTGTTACCTGAGCACGAATCATACCTAACAAACGGTTGAAAGGCAGACAAAACTCTAGCAATGGCTTTCCCATCCATTTGCTGCCAAGCCATGTATGCGTTCTACTATAGAGTCCCACAAATTGTCCAGGACTAAGGGAAACCTCCACAACCACTTAACCTAATGTTACCAATGCCTAAACCCCTTTGTTCCCTCTTCCTAGAGACTACTTACCCATTTTACTCAATGGCCCTTTTTTGAGTCACCGGGTTCCCAAAGAAAATCTCTCATTTTTTTCAATTTGCCTTGCAACCTTGGCAGGTATCTTGAAAGTGGATAAAAAATACACCGGTAGGTTTGCTAAAGTGGACTTGATTAGTGTGATTCTACCCCCAAGGGAGATATAGTTTCTTTTCCACTCTGCTAACCTCTTTGTGAATTTTTCCAAAAGCGGGTACCAAAACCTTTTTTATCTTGGATTTCCCCCCAAGGGCAAGCCCAAAAAGACCAAAAGCCACCCACTTACCTCACAACCTAAGGAGCCACAAAGAACAGCTCCTCTTCCTCCTTATTTACTCCCGCCACACAACTTTTGTTCCAAATGACTTTCAAATTCAAGACTCTTTCAAAGTGTGTCACTAACCTTTTCAAATTTACCATCTCCTCTGGATCCCCTTCACAAAAAATTATGATGTCGTCTACAAATTGTAGGTGAGTAACAACCACTTCTTGTCTCCCAATTCTCCAACCTCTAATTAAATTCCTTAAATCAGCCTTAGAGATCAAGGCGCTCAAAAACATCCACTAAAAGTGTAAAGAGGAAGGGGGAAAGGGGGTCTCCTTGTCTAAGGCCCCTCTTAGCAGGAAAGAAGTCCCTACTCCCAAGCTACTCCATTTACCAAGACAGAATAGTTACAAGTAGTGATACAACCTTTAATCCATTTGCACCATCTATCTCCAAATCCTCTATTCCTCAAGACTTCTAGTAAGAAATCCCAGTCCACTAGGTCATACGCCTTTTCAAGATCAAGTTTTCTTATCAAACCCTTCTCTCCCTTTCTTTTCTTAAAACCCACACACTCATTTACAATTAGAATTTGGTTAACAATTTGTCTCCCTAGGACAAAGGCCCCTTGATTTTGGGAAATTAAGGAGGGGAGGACTTGTTTTATCCTCGGGGCAAGAACTTTAGCAATGATTTTGTACATGCTACCAATCAAACTAATGGGCCTAAAGTCCTTGGGTTGAATTACATCTACTTTCTTGGGGATCAAGGCTATAAAAGTAGCATTTGCACCAAAGTTGAATTTCCCCCTTTTATAGAACTCCAAGAAAACCTCCATCAAATCATGTCCTAGTATATCCCAGCAATATTGGTAGAAGGCCATTGAGAATCCATCTGGGCCTGGGGCTTTTGATCTGTCCATGGAGAACAAAGCATCTTTTATTTCCTAAACCTCAAAAGGCCTCTCTAAGGGTTCCAGAAGCTCCCTATCTCCAACCTACCAATCAAAGTCCACTAGGGTCTCTCTCACTCTGCTAGGTTTGTCATAGATGGACTTAAAATGCTCCAAAAAAGCTCTTGGAATTTCTTCCTCTCCATTCCACTCCAACCTTGCTACATTAATCTTCCACTTTCTCCCACTTGTCAAATTATGAAAGAGCCTTGTTTTACCGTCCCCTTCTTTTAACCATTTGCATCTCGCCTTTTGTCTCCAGCTTATCTCTTCCTTCCTAAGGGTTTCCTCTAAAATCTTGTTTCAACTTCCATCTCCCTTCCCTCTCTTCTAACTCTCCTCTTTGCTTCAGCCCCATCTAAATATTATATCCTTTTTTAGCAAACTCTCCTTTTTTTCCTTCCACTCTACCAAACTCTTCTTTATTCCAAACTTTTAACCTAGCTTTCAACTTTTGGAACTTCTTATAAAATATGTACCCTTTCCATCTATAAGTCACCTAATCCTCTTCCCACCACCATTCTTGCACTCTCTTTTTAAAGTCCGGGTGCAGTAGCCACATGTTCTCAAACCTAAAAGGGCAAGGTCCTCCTCTCCTAACCTCTCTTGTGACAAACTAACTGAACAGTGATCCGAAATAGGTCTAGGTAGGGCTCTCATCACCAAGCCCCTCCATGCCTCCTCCCAATCTACAAAAAAACAAGAATTTGTAACATGAGAAAGCATTCCGTTAATCCTCACTCCTACCAATGGACCAAATTATTGAAATATAGGCCCCATTTGTTCTTCTTTTGGCCATTTACCGGGGTAATTTATTTCTCAAGTGAGTGAGATAATGACCATTTTATCCTTAAAAAGACAAAATTAGAAGGGACAATATTGTCCCATCATGTGCTAACAACTTCCCCCCAGGCAGGAAAGGGAAAGTGAGAAAGTAAAGGCTCCACATGAATCCTTAAACAGAACATGGGATTGTTAGTCAATGGCAACCATTTTCCCATTGACTAAATCACCCCCCCCCAAAAAAAAAGCATAACCAAAAAATGAATGTGCCCATAAACTCCAAACAGCTTACCATTAAACTTGATTGCCTCAGCCATCAGACTTGAGAGGATAGAAAGCTTGCGGTCACTTTATCAATTATATACTGTGATGTGAAGTGTGCATCACAGATAGAATTGATTGAACTACCTTTAATAAAACAAGGTCCATATAAACCCACCAAACCTAATCTTTTCTTAACAACTTAAAGTAGCCTAGAGCAGCCTAATGAGAAATACAATTAAAAGCTCAATTCAAAATTCAACTTCAACACTCAACAGTTCAATCATAAACATATATAAAATGGCAAAAAAGCACTAAACAAGATTAAAAAAAAAAAAAATCATGAAGAATAAGCAGGATATATTATTTACCAAATAGCCATACAAGTAATACATCTTAATTAATATGTTAAGTACAGATAAAGAATCCAAAATCAGAAAAGAGCCACAAGGAAAGGCATTGTCAACTTAAAACCTGCAGGTAAGCTAGTATATCTGTTGTCGTCACTCTTGTTCCTTCCTCTTGTTGCCTCAAGATCCATTGGTACAGTTTATCCTGCATAAGGCAAAGTGAAGAAGCTGAAATTAGTAAAATCATAAAAAATTATAGGCTACAAAGTTAAAAGAACTCTATCAGTTAATAATTCAAGATAACAGAAGTATAAGGCTAGTAGAAGTCAACAGGTTAAGCAATGCAGATATCCAAGACAGCAGGGATAAAGACTATCCAAGTCAACAGGTTAAGCAATGCACCAGAGCAGAAAACTTCTCACCCCCCCCCCCTATGTGCACAAGTGTGTATGTGTGTGTGCTGTGTACCACATAAGCAAGTATTGTATAAGAAACTGTAGCATAACTATGGTCCAAATCAACCAAAATGATAACGAAGGCTAGTAGCAGTCAAGTTAAATAATGCAAATATCCAAGATGTCAGACAAATAGAAACTCCGCCACCCTCCCTCCACTATCCATCCATCTATCCATCTGACTATCTATGTATATATTTGTGTATATATGAATATATCAAATAGGCAATATCTATCAAAAAAAATATATCAAATAGGCAAGTATTTTATAAGAAAATGTAACATATCTCAAGGCAATGTTGTGCTGAACTGCTGATAAGTTTAGGAGAGGAGGATGAAAACAGATTCCTCAACAACCTAGGTCAACATCCAAGAAAACCTCACAACTATAGGAATAAGTTCAACCATAACATGCAGAATTATTACTTCTATCTATGTAATGGCTCTTATAGGACAAAAGGCAAAGTGTGCATACCAATTGAAACACGTGAAATTCCATTCTTGAAAATATATTTCTTTTCTGGAGCACACCCCTGCCCCTTCCCCAAGTTGCATAACATGGTTAAGAAATTGATTTGCATTATAGAATCATATGATTTTAACTGAGATAAACCTGTTCCTTGCAGAAGTAATCATATGATTAGGGATAGAAATTTGACCCACCCCCACCGAGTGGGGCACTGATCAGGTTCAGGGTGGGTTTTGGGGAAACCCAAAACTTTGGTGACCGGGGACAAAGCAGGGGTGGTATTTGTCCACCCCACCCCAATTAAAAGTGTCTATGTGTGTATACTTTATTATATTATATTACATAATATAAAACAGTTGTAGGTAGGAGGTTTTCAAAGAAATTTGAAAAAAAAAAGGTATACAAGTAGGAATGACCAGTGCAGGGCAGGGCAAATTTGAGGATCCCCATTCCCCATGGGGATGGAGATGAGGTTAGGATTTCTAGCCCCAATGAGGTACAAGGCCAAGACAGGGCAGGGTATTTGAGTTTGGAGTTGGGGATGGGGGTATGCAAAACCCGACCCCGCCCCACCCCGCTCTGTTGTCGTCCTACATATTATATGCATTCCACAAGCAATACTTTTTTCTATTTTTTGCTCCAGATCTTGCTTTACCTCCATAAAATGCTGATCTCCTCACAAAATCTCCACAGCCACTTCATGACATAACTTTGCTCATGAATATGATAATGTAGGTAAACAATTCCACCATCATCCTTCCTACACACCATATCCCATGATAACAAATGAAAATTCAAAGAGGTAGAAGCTGATTTTTCAGAAAATCTGCTCATAAATTCCCATCCATCCATATTTCTCCCATTTTTATCAGGCAGAAGAGAAGCTCTGGGAGGATATAAGGTGAAGAACCGCCCATTTGTGACAGGTGCACCCTGGGATTTATAAATCATCTGAGAACATTCCAACCTCTTTTTATGGATTCCCATCTCATAAATTGTATGTTTTAACAAATTATACTATCTGCATGTGATAAAAATTTAATTAAAGTTGGCAAGACATAAGTCTTCAGAAAGGACATTTATCTTAAAAAACTAGATGTGAAAACATGATAATAAGCATAATATGGAATACCAATACCATATCTGTGTCCAAGATTTTGGAAATGGAAGGTCAAATCCCCATTTTCTGTATCCACATCTGGGAACCATAGGTGATCACATTTCCAGCAATGGGTACCAGAGAGTATAGCAGTAATGACAGAAATTGTAGTCCTATTGCAAGATCTAATAGTAGGATACATCTTGAGCCTGGACAGGCCAGATGTGCCCCAGGGGGACTTTTATGGCAGTGATTAAGTGAATGAAGAACCATTTGGATAGCCCAAGTCACTAAGGCACCAAATATGACAGGAAAAAAGTTTGTTCAGACGAATACAGAGGTCTGTCAACACCCTTGCAGATAGTCTAGCCATAAGAATAGGACTATAATGCATCTCACACTTTCATGCAATCCTTCTTCATTTCTGTTTCATTTATATGCTGAAGAGGTTTAATTTTGGGAGGAAATGGAGAAATTGGATAAAAGTGTGCTTATCTTCTCCATCTTTCTCAGTCCTGGTGAATGGTAGCTCTTGTGGAATGTTTAGAAGTTCTAGGGGCCTGGGACAAGGGGACCCTCTTTCCCCCCTTCTGTTCATTTGTGTGACAGAAGTCCTGTACTGGATGGTAGAAAGAGCACAATTGGGAGGAATGCTGAAAGGTTTTAAAGTAGGCAGTGGGCAGGTGGAGATAGCTCTTATTCAATTTGCAGATGACATGCTATTTCACTGTGATGCCTCTTGGGAACAAAAAGGTAATATTAAGATGGTTTGAGGTGGTATCAGGCTTGCATGTCAACATCTTGAAGAGTGAATTAATGGCTGTGGGGGAAGTGCTAAACATGGAAGAATGGGCAGAGGAATGGGGATGTAAAGTCGGAAAGCTTCCTTGTAGATACATGGGCATGCCTGTAGGAGAAAGTTGAAAATCCAAATCTATTTGGGAACCTATCATGGAGAAGGTAGACAAGAAATTAGCCTCTTGGAAGACAAAATATTTATTCAAGGGCGGCAAAGTAACCTTAATTAAAAGTGTGCTGGCTTCCCTCCCACTTTTCTACTTATCCTTATTCCCTATTCCGGCTAAATGGGCTGCTGCATTAAAAAAAAAAAAAAAGATGAGGGAGATTTTGTGGAGGGGTTGGGGGGAGGAATCAAAATGCCACTTGGTGAATCGGAAGAAAATCTGTTGTTCCAAGACAAATGGGGGCCTAGGGATCAGATCAGTAAGAGAGGTAAACACAGCTCTTCGTGGTAAATGGCTATGGAGGTTTAATGATCAGACAGAAATTCTATGGAGAAGGTTGATAGTAACCAAATGTGGGTTAAGTAGCAGGAATTGGGAAAAAGAGGAGATAAGCTCTCCCTATGGATGCTCAATCTGGAAGGCCATATAAAAAATCCAGACCCATTTTTCTAAGGGAATAAAATACAAAGTGGGAAATGGTAGGAGGGTTCTTTTTTGGAAGGATAATTGGTGTGAAGAGAGCCCCTTAAAAAATGTTTTCCCGGACCTGTTTGAAATCACCACAAACAAAAATGCAACTGTTGCTGAATGTTTGGAAAGGCAGAATGGTCATTGCTCTTGGAACCCTCAGTTCAGGAGAAATTTAAATGATTGGGCGGTGGCATCCTTAATCAGATTGCTCCAGCTTCTGTATGACTCAAACATATCTGGAATAGGGGGAAGATAAAAGAGTGTGGAGTTTTGAGAAGTCAGGTATGTTCTCTGTAAAATCGTTTTTTAAAGCAGTTTCAAAGGAAGAAGCTATATCTTTCCCAAGTCAAAGAATATGGGTTAGAACCATGCCTTCAAAGATCGCCTTTCTTGTTTGGTCAGCAGGGCTGGATAAGATTCTAGCCAAGGACAATTTAGTCAAAAGAGGGTTAGAAGTGGTAGACATGGCATGTCCCCTATGTATTGGGAATGTGGAATCATCCAGTCATCTGCTTTTACACTGCAATTTTACTCACTGGATATGGCTAAGAGAGGTGGAATTATTTGGTGCTAAGCTATGTTTCCCGGCAGATGTTAGGGGACTTATAGAAGCTTGGTGGCTGAGTGGTCTGAGTAAAGCTGGAAAGGGGGCTTGGAGTATTATTCCCGCAGCTGTTCTGTGGGCTGTGTGGAGTGAAAGAAATAACAGATTATTTGAAGGAATTCAAAAATCAAAAGAAGATGTTCTGAGGAAAATTATGGGGATGATCCACTCTTGGCTGACTGTACACCCGTTGTTTAAAGACAGACACCCAAGTGCTTTTTTTGAGTAATTTTTTGTTTGTAAGGAGGGAGTAGTTTTTTTGATTAGGGGATTGAGGACTGCATGGGGCTGTTTTGGTTTCTTTGTATATCCTCTGTTCATTTCTCTTTATACAGGGGTTTCTATAGTTGCTTTTTAATGAAATCACTTTACTTTACAGTTTTCAAAAAGAAAAAAAAAAAAAAAAAAAACTACTTTGCTCTACCTTTCAAATGCTGAATCTAATGTTTTCCCAGAATGCTATAGAGCTTCAGCTCATTTTCCTGGTTCTATTTTTCCTTTTCTTAGAAGCCTGAGTGGTTTGACTATCACACTAATCTAAGTCAAGTGAGGCAAACTACCTGAATAACAGATCTACCAAATGTTAATCCTGTCTCCATCCAGACATCAAACTGACCTGTATGGGGTTAACTTACAAAGTAAATTAAAATTCCACCATGCCACTAAGGTGAAGAACAACAACTAAATGAGGAAACTCGTTAAGAAGAAACAAAATACATTCCTTAGTTTCTAGGGTGAACACCCCATATACAATTTGAATCATCACGAATGTAAAATTTAGCATGCTCATCTACCGTTTTAGGACTTCTATGTCTAGATTGGCCCGATCAATTCCTGCCCATATTGCCAACTGTTTTCCAAAAGTTTGCTTCTCAGACTGCGAGATCGCCCTTTTTCTCCCTAAATAATAATCACAAGTCCTCATCTCCACCTCAGTAACATCACTACCTCCCAAGATAAAGCCTCCAAAATTCCATTTTGTTGTTTGAACTGCACGAAAAATCAATTAACATCTCATTCACAGAACAGCACACCCATGCATTCCAGAAAAACACTTAATTCTCAATTAATTTGCTTCGATTGCTTGGGACGGGGTTCTGTGAAACTAAATCGACCAATAATGCAATCAGAGATTACAATTATCAAATGATGCACGTTAGATGATCCCTATAATTGGACTTAGTTATGGAATCAAAACAAACACAATTAAAGTTTGTTATTAATCGAAGAAACGACTAACCAGACGAACTAAACCACTGCAGACACGTACAAGGAACAAAAAAGAAAAACAAGGAAAGATCAATCCGCAACCCCAAAACAACGAAAAACCCATCAGATCAAACCCATAAACGATCATGAAAGAAAAAGGAGACAGAGCAAGAAAATAACCAATGCATGACGCTCTCCAGCTTGAAACACGAGCTTCTGATGATTCATGGCCTGCGTATAAAGCTGCGACAGCGAATTCGCGGCGCTGCAGAAAGTGGTGTATATCGTCCGATCGACCTCATCCAAGCGCGTGGCGTCAGACTTCCTCTTTTTCCCCATGAGAATCCCTGTACAGTTCTTCCCTTCGATCTCTCCCCCACAGCCAAAACCCTAGAAAACCTAAAAAGGTCCAACAAAGGAAGTTCTTCTCTCCAACCTCCGTGTTGCAGAACCTCTCAAAGGGAGAGAGGCGATGGGGTTTCTCTGTTTTTATTGCCGAGTTACAGAAGAAGAGGTGAGGGGTACGACAGGATAACTATCGTGCGCATACCCCTCAACATGCAAAATCTATATTTTGTAACTTCGTTTCTTTTTCCTTTGAGAGAATCGTATTATCTCGTATTGATCAAGTGACCTATCGTAGTAGGACTCTAGTCCTGAGACCTGAGATTCTTCCCCCTTTAAGCCACGTCCATTGATCAAGTGACCAACCTGGCCCACGTAGCTAGGACAGGACCCACCAGAATACGTGGCATGTGATGCAGTAGCAAGAAAGAACGATGGACTTCTTATCCTTCTGCATTCATGCATATGACCAGGCCCACATGGATGTTATGGAGATCAAGTTGGGTATGAGCTTGACTCAGAAAAATCTGGGCCCTGGCCCATTCAAATTTAGTAAATGTGTCACCTGATGATTGGTGATGTGGTAATTTAAGTATTTAGAGGCTGTCAATTGTCTATTTCATCTGGTTGCAAGAATAAGATTACTATGTAGCTTCCTTCTTTGTTTCTCTCCTTGAAAAAATGGTGAAGGAAAAGGGAGACCTGAGAACAAACAAAAAGGTTGACCCCACTCTTTCACGGTTTCACATTTCTGAATCTCTCTCTTTCTGTTAGGAAGAGATACTAAGGCTGTGGTGTTTGTTACAGGTTTCCAGAGAGTATTAAGCCCCGTTTGGTTTGTGGGAATAGGGGTCTGGAATCGGAATTATTCAGATTTCAACTGTTTCGTTGGATGGAATCGAAATCTCATTCTCATTCTTGTTGGAATGGCATTCCCCCATTTGAGGGAATGGCCATTCCCTGCCACTCTCTTGGGAATGAAATCTCATTACTACTGGTTTCAATTCCATTATTCCGATTCTGATTTCAACTGCAAACCAAATGGACCCTTAGAAGGTATTATACAATATGAATGTTTTTTGCTTTTATTTGTTTTTGGAATGACCACATCAGCAAAAACAAAAATATGTTTTTGTTTTCAAAAGGAAAAGCAAGGGGGCACTTTATAACATGAATTGTTTTTCTTATTGTTGGTTCCAAAAACAAATCAAAACAATCTGATTTGAAAACAGATTGTTTCTCAAAACAAAGATACAAAACACATGTTTTTGGTTGTGTGAGTGCTTTTTTTTTCAAAAATGAAACTAAAAACATATTCTTGAATTCTGGTTTCAAAACATGCTTTTATCTGGTTATTTCCATAAAGCATATAATTTATGCATTGTAAAATTTGTTTTAATTTTAAAAACCATTATCTTGATGGTTCCAGAAACATTTATTGCTTTATGAAATAAAACCAACTTGTTTTTTCTTTTGAAGACAAAAACATAATCTGTTTTTTTTGCTGATGTGGTCAGTCCAAAAACAAATGAAAATAAAAGTATTCTATTGTAGAACGCCCCCCAAAATATTGGTTTTTAAAATAAAAACAAACTTCCCAATATAGGAATTGTATGATTTATGGAATGTGGTGTTGAATAATTAAATGAAAACATGTTTTTCAAACCAGATTCAAAAACATGTTTTTTGAAGTAGGGGACCCTCTTTTTCTATGTTTTCATGATATTTGTGCTATTTGAAGAGGTTTCTCGAGTTGTATTCTCCTAGTGTTCATGGTTACTATTCTTGGACCCAAGCCCAGCCCATAAATCTAAGCCTAATGCAAACATGGGGCTTCATAGAATGCGCCCCACAACACATCCTAACCGTGTATTGGGAATATCTCCCCATGAGATGTATGGAAGATGTTTCCAATGCACATTGAGATGTGCATGTGGGATGTGTGTGGGGTGCCAATCTGAACTCCACTTGCACTTCCCTTCTTGTATTAGTCAACCAATTGGGAGGTTGATTATCCCACACCTATGTATCTAAAATATGTTTATCATACATCCTTTTAACAAAACTAAATTGAATAGGTTATAGTAGACTCATGAGAGTTCAGATCAGCTACTAAAAAATGGTCCCAACAACGTCCCAACCTATGATTCTAGCGATATACATCGTAAACATCTGCACATGGAATTGGAAGACAAGGGAGATTGTTCCCAATGTGCGGCTGCAGTGATCCATTGCGACAATGTTAGGAGCATTCTGTTGGGAGTATATCCCTACTCGACTCTTGCACATCATCATGGGATAACTTATCCTAACCATACATTGTTGTTTGACTGTATTATGAATTACCTTTTACTTGTAACTTATCTCTTCAATGTGCATAGTTACTCAATTGTACTTCACACAATATATAACACAAATCATATAATTTTCTCTCAATTTTGTGAGAAATTCTCATCAACATGTAATATAACATTGTATCAAAGCCTAATATCCTGTTCACAAGCCATGTTTTTGTCAACAACTATCTCAATGAACTAGAGATAGTTGGATGGATCCAACTATATGTATCGCGCAAAAGTATTTGGTCAAAACTGCTCTTGAAGCAGATGACTTGCTTCGTTATTTTGATGGTTCAAGCTCATGACTTGAACAATTCACCTCACCATCCTCATCGGCTAGTTGGTGGTAGTACTACTATTTGTTTTCCTAATCCCAATGTTTTAAAAACCAACCTGGAATTGGAACCGCTTTGATCACTGGTTTTTTGGTCAATGGTTTGTTTGTCTGATCCAAATGGATAATTCATTGCAATTTAAAAAATAAAAATAAAAAACAAAAATAGTTAAAATAAAAAATGGTCAAAACCACTGTTTGGGTCTAACAATTCGACTGCCTAGGTCAGTGAGTCACTGACCAAGTCAACGATTTTTAGAAAAATTCCATATTTAGAGGTGAAATAGAATCGGTTGCCAATACGGTTTATGGGCCGAATTGTCTTACCATCCCGGTCAACAATGGTTTGAAAACCATGCTTAATCCAACATTTCTCTCTTGGGAGAAGTGGGATGAACTTCTCTTTAGTTGGATGCTTGTTTCATTATCCGAATCAACACTAGTTAAGGGTGTCAATTGGACTAGATTTGGTCCAATCCGATCCAATCCAATGTGAGTCCATTATAAATGAACCAGGTCCAATCCAATCCAATGAATGTTTTGAACCAATCCAATTCAATGTCTAGAGTGAGCCCATTATAAATAGACCAGGTCCAATCCAATCCAAAGAATGTTTTGGACCAATCCAATTCAATGTCTAGACCGTCCAATCTTGAATCATTTTGATTTAGATTGGTTTCAACCCAAACCCGGTCCATTGACACATATATTCTTATCTTATATTAATGGACCAGATATTGGCTTAATCCAACCCAATCCAATATAAATTTGTTACGGACATACCAGATCCAATCCAATCTATTAAATATTTTGGACCGGATTGGTCCAATCCAACATGTCTTGTTGGTCCATCCAATCCATCCAAATTGATTTTGGACTGGACAGGGTCCAATACAAAACTAGTCCATTGACACCCTTGGCACTAGTTCACGCTTTTTTTTATTATTTTTTTTGGCTTTATGTGGATAGACAGTGGGGGTAGCCCATCCCTAATCCTCTTAAACCCTAATCTTGGTGGCAATGGGGTTTGATCCAAGTCTCTTCTATTAACATGTCGGGCCAAGGTTTTATAAAACAACCCGTAATGGAGCTGCTTTGATCACTGTTTTATGTTAGCAGTTCAACCATCCAGGTTTCCCCTTTTGCAAAAGGGGTGCTTTCCCTTATGCAAAATGGAATCTTACTATAGATTCCCACGTGTTCGCATTGCAAACATACCACCAGTCGCAAACTCTCTTCTTCTACTTCTTCATAACTCACACTTCAAACATGCCGCCAATTGATGATCATGCCTTCTTCAAAACTTTCTTCTTCCTCAAACACCAAAACCCTCTACTTCTTCCTCATGACTTAAAACTTTCTTCTTTAATTTTAGAAGACTAGAAATTAAGCATGTGCATTACATGTGAAAACTTTTTCTTCATATTAATTACTTGAATTTTATATATATCATAGTTAAGATAGAAATTAAAAATATACAAAAGTAACAATATGATTAAAAATAAACTTAAATGTTTGTAATAAATGTGCACATGCATTTTATATGGAAATTTTAAATTATAATAATAAATTATTATTATTATTATTATTATTAAATTTTGTATTCTATTTCTGTCATAAATAAAAATAATTTTTATTTTAACAATTATTTTTATTTAATATGATGAATATATAACATTAGAAATGTTCCCAAATGTTTTCGACAAAATTTTGTATTTTTTCAGTTTTTGTGTTTCATGTTTTTTTAATATTTTTTATTCAATTATGATTTCATGAGTCTTTTGAAAAGTTGGATCATTGACTGGCCATCTAGATAAGAAAAAATAGCTCCGCTTTTGAATCAGTTTTAAATTATATTGTATAAATAATTTTTACTCATTACACTGAATTTTTGTTTGACATAATTAATATATAACTTTTTAACCATCAGATCATTGATTAATCTATTTGACCCAAACCACTAATTCACCACTCAAAAAGGAAAATATTTTGATCTTAGGCTGACATTAAATTTTGTTACATTTTCATCATTGATAATATTATTTCTTATTTTTATTCAATATAATGAATTTAATATTAGAGATGTACCCAATATTTTATTTTTATAAACATATAGAATTAGATATGTATCCAAATTTTTCTCTATTTTTTTATTTTTGTGATTCTTTGTATTTTATTTTTTTTTAAATTTTATTGTTTGACTATGACATCATTTCATTTCTAGGTTGATTTTGTATTTGGCATTCCATTTTCATGATTAATAAAATACTTCTTACATTACATATTTTATTTATTTTAAGTTTTTATTATTTAATTATGGTATTGTTTATTAACCCATTTGACCCCAAATGGTTGATTGCTTACCCACCATTGGGAGGGAAGAAAATGGTTTTGTTTTTAAAGTACTTTTCAAAATATTTATTTTTATACTATTAAAATTAATGTTATGGATTTAATTAATAGAATTTAATGATGAGAAAAATATATCTTAAATATAGGATTTAATGAAAGAATATATCTTAGA